ATTGTGCAGATTAAAATCGATTCTCCGATTAAAATTCAATTTCAGTGGGGTTAATCTAAGATAATCAATTAATAATCTTTCAATTCGATTGTTGACGATTGGGATTTCAATCGATTGAGCAAATTAAAATCGATTGTCCGATTAAAATCCAATTTTAGTTGGGTGAATCAAAACTAATTGATTGAGTTGATTGATTTTACAATCGATTATAGAATTTTAATCGATTTTAATCGGATTCTTCTAGAAAAAATAGAAGTTTTGTTTGAAAAATCGGATTTCTCCGTCGCTAATCAAAAATAATCTGGATTTTCTTCGGAATATTTTTCACTGGGCATCTTCCTCAAAAATGTGCTTCGGATCTGGCGATGAATATGCCTCTCATAACACACACTCCAGTGGACTTGCTTTCGATGGTCGTGTGAGAACGAGCTACACCATGCAGAAAGGCTTGCAGCAGAGTCAAACTTCGTCGGAAGAGGCTTTTTAAAAAATCGGATATTAGTTACTGTGTAGTCCTTCATCTGACTGTTCAGAAACTACATAATCAGCGAGGACAGCGAACTAATTACTTTTCAAAATGAGACTATTGAGTGTGTTTGAATGATCGTGATGTTCAAAATGAAAGAGATAGATCTAGAACAAAGAGAATATGTATGTTCCAAAGCAAGCGTTATTTTACCTGAAGATCGAGTCATCGCAGAGATCGACCAATAACAACGAAAACAAGCTAAAAACTGAGATTTATCTTAGTGGAAGGTTGACGCAATTGAAGATATTTCGAACAGCATGCTATGTTTTTATATTTCGATGATGATTATGTAAGACTTTATGGACGAGAGGAACTATCTAAAAGAAAACAAAATTTACAATATTTCAAATGAAAATATCAGTTATTATGTGTAGATTGATGGTGTGAATGTTCATGTCGATGTGAGTGTGGATGAAGAGAAGAATTAAATCTGCAACTATACCTACATCTACATCCTCAACATTTTTCTCATAGGTCTCACTTAATATAGTGTGAAGAATGTTGTAAATTTTCTCTTGGTAACCCATGGAAACATACATGACTTCATATTCTTATAAGAACCGATGCATAGATTCATAAATCATCAATGCAAATCCATTCAATGTATTGAAACTAGCCGTGAATATTAATTTAAGATTCGAATACTTCTTTTGATAGGTCATAGAATCTCAAGGTTCAAGTAATGCGCGTTTATAGTGGAGTATAGACGAAATTCACAGAGATAGGCCTACTCTTCTAAGAAACTTGTGCATATAGAACAGGAACATAGCAGAGAAAACTTCTAATTTTTGATAGGCTATTTTCTGAATTTAGACTTAACCTATACGTTTGATTCTTATGCTGAAATGAAGAGAATTTTGAGTAGAATTTATTCATATGGTTTTTCCTAAATGAAACTTGGCTGTTTATTGTACGCAATGTCGCAACAACATAAAAACTAATCAGTACTTCAATGGACTAAAATGAACTATTTATTCTGTCAATTACTTTTCTATACGCTTTCAAAACATATTTTTGAAACGAGAGAAAAATATTTGTCTAATTGGTTAAAAACAACATTTTTATCACACTTTATTATTCCAGTCTCTGCTTCTGGAAACTTTTGATATAATTTCTAAGGAAAATTTCGATTCTGTGATCGAGAATGACTTTTTTGAAGTTTAGTAGTTTTCGAAGAAACGCCAACAAACATACCAAAAATTCGGCATGTCTCGCAATGTAGAAGAAATTTTATGACTCAATTTTTTGTAGCATCTGGTAATTTAGATGTAAAAATATACTCGAAGTTTGTATCTAAATCAAGGAAATAGTCTATTAAGACCCAGAAAACTTATCTACCCTACTCGGCATATAAAGGATTGCATTATAGAATCACTTTTAATACTAGAAAGTTTCATCAATCTACTTGTTTATATCAAAATATCACTTCTGAAATTTTTCTATGAATTTTTCAATATTTGATTAGATATAGTTTTTTTTCGTATCAATTTTCTATATTCATTGCTATTCTATTAAATCGATTTCATACTCAAATTCTATCAGATACAACTACATGTTTTGTTCTTGACTTTGAAGCAATGCGACCATGAGAGATAATGGAGTTGTTCATTATTGAAGAGAATACGTTCGATATATCTGTGTATTAGGTAGACAAATAACGGTTACAAACAGTAACAAACTGAGAAGTGACTTTTGCTCTCGATCATTATAGAATAGAAGAATATTTTCTTGTGATGTTAGTAATTTTAATAATTACTCAGAAATTTCAGTGAATACCGGAAATACATAAGATTTTTTTCTATTTGTACATGTCAAGGACTAAAGTTTTGGAGGATAGAGTTTTCTCTCTCATATGGAAATACATTGAAACAGTTTCGTAGTGATTGAGTTATGTCATACTTCACTCAGAAATTTGTTATTAGTATTCTATGAAGTTGCATAACATTTGATCAATTTAATCTTTTGCTTTATGATAGATTTCGATAAGCACTATGAAACTTTGGACGTGACCTGTAAATTTCAATATATCGTTTTCTTAGATAGATTCTTTTTGCTATGTTGGAAATTTCCTTAAATTTGAAAATTTGAGCATAATTCTGATCAACAATCAGATATCATATCGAATTTAGAGCATAAAAAAATCAATTTTAAATTTTATTTACTAAAACACACATCATTTCTATTTCTTATCTCTCTAGAAAATGTCTTTGTTAATATTGATTATATTATTTTCGTTCATTTCATACTCAACTTTGTCATGAAGCAATCTATAATATATTGGTATAACCTTGTTGATTTGATATACGTATGGAACGTTTTATCAGATCAATCATATCATCCGGTGATTTGATCTTATCGTTCATTCGTATAGTTTGAATGAATACACTATATCGATCTATTGCTTTGATGGCTTTTAATTGTTGTTGAAATTTTTCTACAACCATTGCTGGTGGATATTCATATAATCGATCCAAATGTCTACAAAAAAAACATGTATAGTATCGACAGAGTTGAATGTGTTAGTGAAGATGAAACAAAATTAAATATGCTAATAGTCCAAGGATAATTATTAGTTGTAGCTGTCTTCGGATCAACGAATCAACAGCATTATACTTACTCTTTAACACTCGAAAAAATGAATGTTTCAGCCATTTCTAGATTGAATATCAACAAATGATTGGATACTTTTACCGCTTGAAATATGTCAGATAAATCTTTTGTTGTAATATGTGACAAGCTTAAAATTTTACTATTTTTTTCTATCCAATATATTTGTCGAGCAAAATATTCTTCATAGACATAATTTTTAATATCTTTGAATTTATATTTTGTTGATAATGCTATTTGTATCAAAAATTCCCCAATATCAGGTATTACTTTTTTATTACGACCATATAATGCTGATATGAACTGTTCTAAAGTTCTATTTATTCTATTCTCTAGAAACACGACACAAATCAAATATGAAATCTAGTCTGTAACAAAAGTTCATAGATATTTTTACTCTACCTAATTCAGGAAAAATATCAATAAAATGCATCAATAAACATAAAAAATGGCAATAAGCTGCTATCGCTTGTTTGGATTCATACATTTGCCCATTAAATAATCGAACAGCTGATTTATTCATTAAAGTAGTCAAAACATTCAATGCCATATATGGGATGAAATCATATCTTGCACTACCTTGAGCAGCACCATTATGAATAACACTAATACTATTTTGAATAATTGTTTGTCCTTGCCTAAAATGATTAGTATTAATATACAAGGGCAACCAATGATTGTAATCTGCTCCTGTGACAGAACGAAATTTCAAATGTTCATAGAAATCTAATTTTTCTCCACCATATTTCTGTATTTCAGCAACATATGCATCATAAGAGATGAGTTCCAAAACAATTTCTGGCCACAATCGACCACGACTATCACGTGTAATCAATAATGGATAACCGATACAAATATTATCTTCTAGAACATTTTGTTTTGTTACTCCGCACGTTAATTTTTCTCTTAATTCACGCTGTAATCGTAAGCGCTGATGTTCTGATTTTATTAGTTCTTCTTGTTCCTTCGACAACATGGTTTCTTCTTTTGTTTGTTGTTCATCTAGCTTTGTTTCATTGTAACCGACTATAGCTGGATTTGGATTAGTATAAGAATGACCGCATGTTTTACATGTGAAGTTTTTCACCATATTGTAGAGATGAGCAATACTCTCTGAAGAGGGATTAGCCTTCAAATCAGGATCTGCAAAAAACGTGACCATTTGAAGGAGTGCAGTTGATAAAGTGTATCCAAGACTAGAAAATCACGAGAGGAAATGAATACAGAGAGTTAAACAGTGCCTACAAATCGTTTAGTTACCTCCAACCACTGGCTTTTTGAATAGTACCCCCATCGATGACGCGAAAATAAGAAGCATAATTTGTCAGTAAATCATTACACAAAGCATGTCCATTTCTAAAAGTGAAAAATTAAGTTAGAAAATCCATTATCAATCATGGGATTTATGATGATTATACCTGTGATCTTCATGAATATGAGCATGATATCTAGAATCAAATTCTAAGCCAGGTGCTATATTTCCAGCAGGACCTGTCAGTGGATAATCTTCTGGAATATGAAGAATTAAAAGAATCATAATTCCATGATAGGGTCCATCATTGATCAATACCTGGTTAACAAATCAATTATACTCATAATGTGGATATGATATTTATTGAAATACATACGTTGCAATGTAAAACAAATGGATTCAATTCATCAGGACAGGTAACACCGAGTCCGGGTATTGGAAATTTGTCGAGATCTTTCAAATCTCTAGAAATATTCAACATATGTTACTACGAATAATAAACACATTCATTTATTTAGTTCTATACCTTATGATTCGCTTCGTCGCAGCAACCTTCGTATTTTGTGGTTTGAAAGTCACACTCATTGTGCTATGAAGAAAAACTTCTGAGAATGTTTAAAACAGACATGATATTTTTGTTGACAAAAATTGGAAAAATCCTATGCCGACTGTTATTATATATGAGTATGAAAACCGAAGGCACATGATGAATTACGAAAACTTAGAGAGAAAACAAAACAAAATAAAATAATGATACATCAAACCATGTGTGATAGAAACATTCAATATTATTGGACAACGAAAAAGCAGTCGCGTAGTTGATTTGTGTAATCTGTTTTCTTACTTTACTTAAGGTTTCGCATAAAATAAATAAGAAAAACAGATAACAAACTCAATTGTATTGCTGTTAGAGCCGCACACTTAATTAAAGTCATTTCTTTCTACATTCCTGAAATTTCAGATTCTTTATCTAACGAGTTACTAATCAAGATCTTGGAAATTCTGATGACTCTTTTGTAGACATCTGCATATAGCAACAAATAGAATACTTATTTCGACCCAGTAAATTCGAACATAAAAAAAGAGGTGTACTCATAATTTCAACGCTGAAATTTTTTAGGAATGATGAAATCGATGACATCTCTTGAAAAAAGATTTCTACGAAAAATGTTGAGAAGAAACTTGTAATAAGCATATTGCTTTGAATATGGCTTTTAATTTTATTGCTGATTACAAGATACAGCAGAGTACATTAACAGAAAATTCATCACTCTATGTTCATACTTAGCGATGATGAGCAGAAATGAGCGATTATAAATAGAAAGAGCTCATTCTGTCTTCTTCTTCGACAAGAGGACAGATTCTAACTATTTCGGTGCCAGTGAGGAGGAGACACTCATATCCGTATCATACCCACCCACGCCTCATACTACAAAGAAAATGAAGGGATAATGTGTTTTTTTACTACTGCAATATTTTTTTATTCTTGCTCAACCTTGAGAAACTGAAGAAACAGCGTTACTGCTATCCTAACTGTATCATGCTCACCACACTACTCTATCATAATAGTTCTGTCCGTTTCATACAGAACACAAGTTTATATACAAGAGAGGAAACAGAGAGAATAGTGAAGTGAGAAGAAAGGAAATAATAAATAGAGGACAGAGAGAGTAGGTACCTACTATCGGTCGTGAGGTTAGAACGTCAAACCATATAGTGGCCGAATGCTGGCTCATTAATGAACCAATAGAAGATGAACATAGGTCGTAACCTTACACATGCGTCTTGTTGTACTAATTTATCGCGAACAATAAGAATGATTAGATTGTCTTTATTCAATTTTTCGAATTTGTTCCTCACAATCAGTTGTATTTTCGAATGTTTTAAAATTGGTTTAGTGCGCTGCGTAATTCTTATTGCACAATTCAATTACTATCACTATTGTAATTTATTGAAATCGAGTTGAAAAACAAAGAATGTCGAGAAATTATTGTCATCGAACATACTTATACTTGTCATTACACTATGAATACCTTAATTAGCTAAGTAATTGTATGTGTTGTTGTGTGTATCATTTGCTTGGGTTAAAATAAGCACATGCGCTGCGCAATCCTCAGTTTTCTTTTTTTTTTGGTCGCCAGTGATGAATTTGTCTTGACAGGACATCGTGCAATTACAATGGTATCTCACGAATTAGCTTTAATTCGTGTGGAGTATGAGCATCTCGTTGGTTCTATTGAAACTTATGCACCTACACCTACATATTTTTAAATACAAGCAAGTTCAACAAGCCACATGGTATTGATAATAATGTTTATGATGCTTTTCATACTTTTTTTAAGTATCAAACATGAAATGATATCAGAAAAAATGGATCGGCCATTTTATAGTTAAAAAAATGAAAGAGAGTTTCAGGATTAGAACTATCGATTCAACTTTTTTCATTCTTCGCTTTTTGTGAGAAACCATATCGGGTGGTTTCTATCTACATTACATCCTGAACAGACTCCAGTGTTTGAATATGAGACACATTGTATAAAGCTTCTTTCTTTTTTTTTGAGCAGAAAGGAGATGGGTTTGTGATGTTTTGAACGTATAAGCAAGATCAGTTGTTTATCAGTTTAACAGTATTTATATGAAAATTCATGATGAATAATTTATCACATATTTGTTTTTTTAGTTATTGACACATGAAAAATTCAACAAAAAAAGAATGAAATTATTGACAGTGATAATAAGAAAACTTCAGAACATTCGCTAGTCTTTATGTCACAATAATCTCATCATGTTCTGTCAAACTACATAGATGCAGCAGCCAATGAATTTACTGAAACGTACAAAATTTATTCTGTATTTCTTGAATATTCCGTAGTATCAATTAAAAAAAACAATTTCAATGTCTATTACATATGAACTGTTCAATTCAATTTTTGGCTGACATAAAGCAAGTAGTCGATAATTTATTTATTTTAAGCGCATGATAAAGTAAACAAATCAAGATAAAGAAGAAACTTTATTCCTTTGGTAGTAATTTCTGATTTTAAAAGCCAATTTAATTATGTACAAAACAATAAAATGTAGACTGACAGTTAATCCATCGTATAGATCTAAAATTCTCAATAGAATATAAAGAACATTGTTGCGTTTCTCGATTGTGTATGAGCAATAAGTTAAAACACATTGATCGTAGAATGATGAGTAAAACGTATCGATTTGTCATTGCTCAAGAAAGAGTTTATCGACTACTTCTTGAAGAATTATGTTTGTTTTAAAACGACTTTCTATTGTAGAATTCATATCAGACATATTCACAATTGCGTGAAGATCAGTCTGATCAATAACGCTCACAGTCGCATAGTACAACACAAAATCTACGCACGCTTGATTATAAAAACATTCGAGTGTTGATCGTAACAATGTTTCTACTGGTAAGCATGCCACATTTCATCCAGGTATTGCAAAATCCAAAATAGAGGTAAAAGGAAGATAAAATCCTCCCATTTGAACACAATCACTTCGTGTTGCACAAGAGCAGCCATCTTTAAGCTTGACAGCTCGCGCAGGAATTGTCGTAATGGAGCTATTGTATTTGTGCCACCAAAAACAATTCAAAGAATAACTCGATACAAAAGCACTTCGTTCTGCCATTTCATATATTAGTCTTGAAATACGAGCAAATTTTTCTCAAGTAATCGCTTCAAACTGATGAAAAATCGCCGCTATTTGCAGACGAAACTCGAATTCAGGCATCATTTGTGCACTAACAAAAGTATCGGCAAACAACTCGTCAATGGCATTGTTAATAGTTGCCTGTGAAAGTGTACACCACGTTGACAGAAAAACGAAATATGCTACTCCACGTTCACGAAGATCGGTTCTGTCCCTATTATATCATTTCTGGTCACCAAATATACATTGACGCCAGATATCTGTGAGAAAATCACTTGAACATACTTGATGAAAAGTTGGGCTGATCGTGATAAACTCCTTTTATGATACTGAAATTTGACTACAAGAACATTGAAGTATTTCGAAATGGGATCTTAACAATTCTTCATATTAAATTTGAGAAGGATATGAGATAATAATAGCTGATGTTTCTGTCGATAGATAAGTATACATGGTTACACCACATATGCATATCAATGATAGCAACAGGTAAAGCCGTGTTGATAATTGTTCACTTAGGATAGTATCTTGTTCAGTTGATTCACTATCAAACAAATTTAAATGAATAAGTTGGTGTCGAAATTGATGCAATCTATCGAGACATATACGACGATTCTCTAAAATAAAAATAAAATTATAGAAAGAATTCTTTTTAATATTAGTCAATCAAGAGAGGCAATGTGATTCATCATCAAATAATCACTTACGATGAGATTCTTCTTCATTGGTCCAGGCTTGCAATGAACTATTATTTGATGTCTTTTTCATATTGATACATTGGTAAAAGATACTGACAACAATAGGACTGATCAATCGAAGAATTATATTGAGACCACCAAAGAGACCAATGAGTGTTGTAATTATGTAAATAAAAATTATGTAAATAATATTGCTTAGTATTTCGTAACTATATGAACAAAAAGCTGGATGACATTTCTGATAAAAATTTCGATAAGAAATCAATGAGTTCCATTGTTCAACCAGTCTCATTAAAAATCGTATCTATCGAAGTATTTGGTGTATATCGACTGGAAAGGTAAGGATCAAGTGCTTTTACATGCGGGATATTATCCATTCCTTCTCTATGAAGAAGACTCTGGAATTCGTTAATACAACTATTGTTATACCAACACATCAGTGATGATCTCAAGACAGAAAATAGCAATGAAATAACCTCCATGGATTCCACGGAGTTGAGAATACAAATCAATAGTCATATCGTTAAAGTTCAGCGTATTATATAGATTATATGTTGAATCAAGAACACAATAACACATATTACCATTTGAATCTTCAGCTTTTCTACTGACTGCACTTATTCTTATTGGATCCAAGTCAGATTGCTTGAATTGAGAAATATAATATTCTTCTAATTGTGTATTTGTCATCATGTTGCTAACGTATTGATTGGTGTGAAGAACTACATTGGTTAATGACATTGTGTGACAAACATCGGCTTGTGTCACTTTGAGAAATGTTGTGATCAATTCATTTGTTTGTAAAACGAACGAATCGTATGGTAGAACTTGAGCATTGACAAATACTGTTGAATAATATTGACGAATGGTATCGATTATAATCAAATTGGCTATGTCAGAAAATGTCGACAATGTTTGAAAGTAAGACGAAACTGAGGGTTAAAACATAAATGATCTATTAAATTCATTAGGAGACAAAAAACTTTGATACAACCGTGATTGAATAAAATCACTTGAACATACTTGATGATAGATTGATGTTACTTGAAGAAATTTTTCGTATGGAATTGAAAGTACAGTACATGAACACTGCAATGTTTGATTATATCGTTCG